TAAATCTAGTAATGTTCAATTTTAGACTGACCTAAATTTAAAAGACTAGGTTATCAGAGACATTAGAAAGTTTGATTCGGCCATGACTCACAAATCTTAAGAAGACTCCTACTTGGGAAAGTTTAATCAAAGGTTTAAAATTGCGTAATTAAGCCTCGAGGAGGTTTTCGTCCGTGAGGCGAGGCGTAAGCCTTGAGGCGGTCTGAGGCATAAGCCTCACGGACACAGAATTGTGTAAATGAGAAATTAAGGATTTTAGCAGGTAAATAATAGCAATATTCTATCTTACAATAAAAACAACTAAATGATATATGAAAATAGTAGAAAGTAAGAAAATAGATGCAACAAAATCATGTCCCAAAGTACAAAATCATAAAATATTAGTTTAACAAAACTCCCAAAGTACACTAAGCGTGGTCAATATGGCATAGGTTACAGTAGCCCAAAATTTATCATTCAGAATTATCTTTCTTATTTCCTTCCCCTCACTTTTCTTCCCCCACGCAGAGTTAAGTCATTCTGTTGATGTAAACATTGCTTCCAAATGTTGCCTCACATCCAATAGGCTCTGCAGTGTCAAATAGGATGTGGCAAACCTGTAGATTTGCAGTGCACAAAGGTAAGAACATACAGTAGGAATTGCAATAATGATTTGCAGTGTAAGAACATACCTAGTGGTTGCAAGGCGAATGATTTCCTTCTTTGAAAACTTTCTCATCAAGGCTAAGACCCATGAGTGATTGTGGATGAACTTTGTGATCTTGTTCGCCCTAGAAAGAGCGCTCTTGTGCTGAGGTAAGTCACCAAGATCCTCCAAAATGAGATTGATACAATGTGCTGCGTAGGGGGTCCAATATAAGTGTGTCCTCTTCTCCATCAACATCTGACCAGCTGCTTTGTATGCACTGGCATTATCAGTCACTACCTGAACAACCAATTGCTCCCCAATTTTCTCAATAACCCCATCAAGTAAACTGAAAATAAATGCAGCATTTTTCACCTCCTCTGAAGCTTCAACCGATCGTAAAAACACGTGTCTAGGGATTGTTGACAAGGATGTTAATAAAGCTCCTGCTCTTCATGTCAGACCATCCATCTGACATAATGGTAACACCAGTCTCAATCCATGTCCGTTTAATCTCATCAATGCTCCGCTCTGTGTTCTGCAACTCCTCCTTCAAAATCCATGTTCGCAACTCATACATTGAAGGTGCCTTCAACCCTCTCCCATACAACCCTACAGACCGCAGCATATTGAGTAGGCAGGTGACTTAGCAACATTAAATGTATGGACATTTTCAAAAAAAAACCTGTCAATTATCACGCAAACCTGGCGTCGACCCTCTCTAGTACCAGCTGCATGCATAATTTATGCTTGTCCTCTATCTTCTTCTGGATTAGTCATATACTGATTCATAGGACCCCGTGCACCTCTGTTATGTATAGTGAGGAAGCCCTTTCACTCTGGCTCCCGAAGTAGTTCGACCCTATCATCAAATTGCTCCTGTTGTAAGTGTTTTGCTGTGGTAGTTTTCTTCATGTAAGCAATTATTTCATCATTCACATTGTCCGGCACTTTTGCACACGGTGCTACGTTCTTATGAGAGCATGATAAGTGTTTTTTCATGCGGGTTACTCCGTCATTCACCACTTTTCTCACAAAAATTGCATTTTAAATACGACATATTCGTTTCTCGCCCCCTCCTACGTCAACTTGCACGCTATATTTCCAAGAAGGGTCACGCCGCAATGACGTATTCTCCTTTTCTTTACCTCTAACCATGTCTCCTAAAGCAAAAATCCAAAAACACACAAAGACAATAAAAAAACATAAACCATAGATTTTCTTACCCTTGAAAAATCTAACCCTAAACTAAAAAAAAAACCTAAAATCCAATGTGGAGTACTCCAAGAGGGCGGCCGAAAACTTCAACTTCGCCGGAGAGAGGCGGTGCCGGCGGGAGAAGCGGCGGGAAGGGAAGCCGACGGGAGCGAGACCTCACTGTTTCGCGAAAACAACGTTCGGGGAAGGAATTTTCGGAAGATCTAGAGCCGTGCGGGTTCAAGCAAGAAAAAACACTTCATTTTAAGTGGGTGGGGCCTTTCCTATGAGGCGTACGCCTCTACTAGAATTGCGCAATTGCGCCTCTGAGGCGCGCCTCAGTCCAAGTGAGGCGTACGCCTCTGCCAGAAGGGAAATTGCGCAAGCGTCGAGGCGGTTTTGGGTAAAATTGCGCAGAGGCGCGCCTCTTATTGCGCAATTTTAAACAGAGGTTTAATCTTAGTGTTTTGATACTGAGATTGAATTTGATTTTCTTTTGATGAAAGATATTTAGATTTAGAATTTGATTTGGACAAAAGTTTTTATAATTTGGACTCAATCAATAACCAGATGAAAGAAACATTTCTATTTGGAAGAAACATTCATTCATTAATAAGTTTTGAAATTTGAATACAATCAATTGCAATGTCATAAGATGACATCTATTGATAGGCAATATAGGACGTTCCTCATTACAATCAATTAGCTGATATAACCCACCTTGATAGAAATTTTCTAATATAAAGAAATCTTCCCACATAGGCTCAAATTTTTTATCTATTTTATGGTGAACAGTGAACCAGAATCGATATCTAAAGATCTAAGACTAAATCAAAAACATTGAAAGTCCTAGTATGACTAAATCATGAACATTGAAATTCCTAGGATGAATCAATCTATCAGGAGCTTGAACCAAACATATTATATATAACTAGAGGTTCCATTGAGAATGTAAAACCTTCTTATATAAACCATCAAGCTCTTTCAAAAATAACAACAACAACAAGCCTTTATCCCACTATGTGGGGTCGACTATATGAATCCTTTTTCTCCATTGTGCCTTGTTAAGAATCTAATTTTCATCTTAATCTAATAAAGAAATGTCATTTCTAATATTTTCTAAACAAGTATTTTTTAGGTCTACCTCCACCTTTCTTAACATAAGTCAAATCTAATACATCTACTTTCCTAACCCGATCATCGGAAGGCCGCCGCTTTTTGTGACCAAACCATCTAAGGCGACTCTCTCAAATCTCATCTTCCACTGGAGCTACTCCAATCTTTTCATGCATATGCTCATTTCATATCTTGTCTTTAAGAGTAAAGCCACTCATCCACCTAAGCATCATCATCTCTGCAACACTTAACTTAATATTATGCGTCTCTTTTAATGGCCAACATTTTGTACCATAAAGCATTGCAAGTCTCACTACCATCTTATAGAATCTTCCGTTACGTTTGAGAGGAACTTTTCTATCACAAAACAAGCCCGATGCATTCCTCCACTTCAACCATCCAACTTAAATTCTACTAATAATATCCCCATTTATTTCACCATCACTCTAAACAATAGACCCAAGATATCTAATGTCGCCCAAAGTCACAACCCCCCCCCCCCCCCCCCCAAGATCTTTCAACCTCAGTTGAAAATTCTGTTCACTTGTAATTTCATTATTCATTGCAATTTTAAGAGATAGAAGAGGTACTTCTAGGGAGAGAACAACCTCTACTTCGTAGAAAAAAGCAGCATAGGTAGATATAATCAAGGTCCTGCATATGGACAAATATGCCCAAAAGGCTTCAATCAATTTTCCATATCACTGACATTTATTCTCATAAAAAGTGTTCTTTAAAAATTAAAGTAATGTATATTAAAATTTTCATCCAATCCATTTGCTCGATGACAGTATATTGTGGTATAAATCCAATCAATATTATGTTTCTAAACAAATTTATGTATTTTGATACTTTTGAAAGCAAAAACATTGTCAAATATGATTCAACATGAAAGACAAAATATGTATATGACATGGTATATGAAAAATAGCAATATATGGCTAGTATGACTTCTGTTAGTGGCATGGTTTCGACTTTAAAAAATAATCAGTTACAGCGATAATAAACCTTCGACTCTTAGAAGAAGGTTCAATAGGCCAAATGATCTCATTGACCCACCTTTCAAAAAGCCAAGAATTGATGGGTACCATTCAATCAGTCTTTTAATTTTTAGTTTTAGTTTTCAACCTAATTGATTTGAACCATTGAAATCCAATAGTATCTAAATATTTTAATTTTTAGCTTTAGTTTTCAAACTAATTTATGGGCACCATTGAATCAAACATGTATCTCAGTCATTATCTTATAAGCTTTCTCTTTTCTGAGATAACACAATCACATTTGGTCAAATGATTATTGATATAAGGTATGTCAATGAATGTATATGAGACTGCTATTTTCTTAATTTAATGAGAAATAGACTTCTCCTAAGAGAGTTTATCATTTTGAAGTATTCGATGAAAGATTGTCTCTAATCATCTTCATTGTCTACTACAAACAAGAACTCAAAACTAGAAGAAGTTTGATTTAGATTTTAAAAATCAATAAGAGACAAAGCTTAACGGTTCTGTAACTCTACCTAAATCCACTCCTTTTTGAAACAAGACATTTCCTTAGCAAGTTGTGCTAAGATATCCTTCATAGTGTTTTTGGCCATGCGGCATTCTAAATAATGTTACATTAGGATTTTGTTTAAACAACTTCATGTAACAAATAGTATTTAAGCAAGTTATTTTAGAACTTTATAAGTTCCTACAACCTGGTTAATTACCAAACAAGTGCTTTTAAAAAAATTGACTCAACCCCTACATCACTTAATAATTTAACAATATTCTGTCAAAACCACAATAAAGGCCAAGCCCAGGCCAAACTTCGGGTCCCTTGATACTCTCACTACATTCTGTCAAAACCACGGTAGAGTCGCAGTCCATGTTGCATTGCATTTGCAAAAAGTATATTTGTTGACCTTAAAAATAAAGTCTGGGTTGAGATTAACAATAAACAAAGAACAACAGCAATCATGGTACACACTCGTCGTTCACAGAATAATCTCCATATAAAGCAGGAATGAAACTTAATATTAAAACTCAAATAAAATAATTGATAGATGACATAAAATTACCTCACCATAAACCTTGTTGAACCAGGATCACCTTGTCTGCCAGCCCTACCACGAAGCTACACAACAAAGACAAAAATGCAACTCATATAAAATTGTGAAATAAAATTATTGATAGTTAACAAATCTACATTAGTAGAAAATGCCATATCATAGATGTCTACCAGACGCAGAAGTCCAGGTCAACAATAGTAGGAAGAAACAAAAGCTCTCCCAGCAATGTCAGCATTTTCCTCTACAGTGAAATATAGCTAAGATTTTGTATTTTCTATCTCAACACTTAGAGCAACTAAAATGGTATTTTACATGTATGGGTCTTGGTAGGTATGACTAGGTTGGAGTCGGTTTTAAAATCAAACGGAAGAGCTCCTAAAAATTCCATCAAACATCCTTCTAAAACATACAACACTGAAAAATGTACCTAATCAAGAGAATGAACTCAGGGAAACCACAAAAATATTAAAATAAAGTTTGAAACAATTCAATTTGACGAAACGAAAGCCCAAATGAGCCTAAATTGGCTTGATTTGAGCTCCAGATAAATTGATTGAAGTTTATACGTGACTAAATTGACAAAACCAAGGCCAAAACAAGCCCACATAGCCAAACACAGTCAAGGACTGGCCCTGACGCGGGTGTAATGAATTCAATCCATCCTCATGCCCAATGCAGGAAGGAAAGGGATGCAACAAAGAGCATGTCAATTGCTTCAATTTTCTCCGACATGCACTCATATATTAGCTACAAATCTCAAAAATCACTATTGTCGCAAAATTCCACCTTGCTTCCGGTCGTTTGTCTCAAAATACACTTAGATGAGAAAATAAGTTTTTACCTTTGTGAATGTTGGTGCTTATTGTTGTCAAATTTGGACTAGAAAGCAGTCAACCTCTATGAATTTTTTCCCATCCATAAGTTAAAGATATTTCTACATTACTGCGTTAAAAATGGGGTATAATTTTAATAGTCATAGATCTAGTAGTAAGATTGTGATATTGGGTGATCAAGCCCAAGGTTTAAAATTGCACAATTGGGTATTGAGGCATTTTTCGTTCGTGAGGCGAGGCATAAGCCTCGAGGCGTAAGTCAAAATAAAAGTTGTGTAAAGTCAAAATAAAAGTTAACATTGATTTTTTACATAGTATCGAAATTATATGTTAAAGAAAAACATATTAACTTTCTATTGAACTATGAAGTAACAAATTTACGTATATATCAAGGTTTAAAATTGCGTAAATAAGCCTCGAGGCGTTTTTCATCCGTGAGGCGAGGTGTAAGCCTCGAGGCGGTGTGAGGCGTAAGCCTCACGGACGCAGAATTGCGTAAATGAGAATTTAAGGATTTTAGCAGGTAAATAATAGAAAGATTCTATCATACAATAAAAACAGCAAAATGACAAGTGGAAATTAGAAAAGAGATGCAATAAAATCATGTTCCAAAGTACAAAACCACAAAATTATAGTCTATCAAAACTCCCAAAGTACAAATAAGAAGGAACATATATAATCCAATCATGTTCCATCACTAAATGGTTCTTCCAGGAAATCTTCTTCTCCAATTGTATTTATGAACGTCATATCTTCATCATCTTCAATGTGACTCACTTTTCTCTTCCCTGTTCAATAAGAATGATCATTATCATGTTACTTCCTCACTTGATATAAATATAATGTAATAGCATATAAGAAGTTGTGGAATACCTTTATTTGGATGTTGTGCTGCAGAGCTAGTGGATGTGTGTGGTGTGGTACAAGTGGATGTGCCCACTTTATCTGTTTCGTCCCTCAAGACATCCACACTTAGATCCTCTAGTTGCAAGTCTGATAATGGCAAATCTATCTCATCATCTACGTGTCACGACCCGGCCCGGTGAGTTCGCATGGGCGAGGTGGGAACAAAGGTTGGACAGTAGTAGGGATGTCAATTTAGGGTCACGGGTCAGGTTCGGGTCAAACCCGAAATTGACCCGGCACTATTCGGATTCGGGTCGACCCGACCCGTTTTTGCAAACGGGTCAATTTCCTGGATCCCAACCCGACCCGCTTCGGGTTCGGGTCGGGTTCGGGTCAACCCGAACCCACTTTTTTCAGCCGCGGCAACAGGTTACGCGGAACGAGTCGCTGGAACGCGTTACGCGCAGATCGAAGTTGCGGACGGCGGAACGCGCACTCGCGCTAGGGCATGCGGCAGCGGGGCGGGGCGAGCCAGGCTCAACGCAGGGCGGGGCAAGCCAGGCGCGATGCGGGGCTGGGCAGAGTGCGACGCGGGGCAGGGCGGAGCGCGACAGCGGGCGTGGCAGCGAGGGCTGGGCGAGCCAGGCGCGACGCAGGGCAAGGCAAGCCAAGCGCGACCGGGGCGCGGGGCGGAGCGCGACGCGGGGCGTGGCGGGAGCGCGGCGGAGCGCGACAGCGGGGCGCGGCAGCGGGGCGGGGCGAGCTAGGCGCGACGCGGGGCGCGGGCGAACGTGGCAGCGAGTTGGGCAGCCAGGCCGACCGCGGGGCTGACGCGATGCGGGGCTGACGCGGGGCCGGATGCCTGGTTTACGTGTTATTCCGAGTCAAATCGTGTCACTCCCGGGTTTCCGGGTCAACCTGGACCCGACCCGGTTTTGCAAACGGGTCGATTTTTCAGACCCGAACCCGACCCGTTTCGGGTTCGGGTCAACCCTAACCCGAAATTTTCGGGTCGGGTTTTCAGGTCGGGTCCATTATTGACAGCTCTAGACGGTAGGCTAAATTATCTAATCACTAAATCTATCTCCATAATAATTGAAAGAGCCTCTAAAACATCAAATTGAAAATACTTAAACATAAAAATCAGGCATAACCATAAAATTAACTTTGCTCAGGCATTCCTCTTATACATTGCCATCCCTTCTATTCATTTATTATTTTCTTAAATTTACCTGAAAAAAATGTTAACAACTAACATTAAGCCGAAGCTTAGTAAGTAAAATACAATTCTAAACTACAGTAATCAAGAAAAACTGTATAATATGCTAGATACCAATTTCATATGAACATAACATAAAAATGATCTCATATTAACATAACATTAAACATATCATATCATAAACTATATTTTTCATTTTTCTTTCCATGTTCATATCATTATACTTAACTTTCTCGTTTCATATATTTTCAACCGTCACATGAGCCACCGTCTAGTACCATAAAGGTACTCCTTTACCATTTTTCTTTTTTCATATCCTTTACCATTTTAACGTGCATGAGTACAGCATCCCCAGCTAGTACCATAAGGGGGTGAGCTCCATCCTTTCAGCATACACATACAAGCATTCAATATAACATTCATATCAATTCATTTCATATAACATAAACTTTATCATGTAATGTCATAAAATATACCTGTAATTTGCATGATCATTCATTTGATAACAGTAAAGAATAATGATTGCATATAACTTGAGGGAAACAAAAGTATTACTGTAATAAAGAACCGTGCATACTTACAGAAGTTTGGAATTTGATTCCCTTGCTAGGCCTTCTTCCTTCGATGTCACCACGATTAAATCACCTATAATTATCAATTTCTCATTCTTAAAATCTACAAAATAATTTAAAACGAAATCTTTTCTTTCTAAACTATTCTAGGTTTTCTCTCTTTCCCTCTCTCTCTCTCTCAAATATAATTTAAAGCATACATATATTCTAAAAATTCAATATTTTTGTATAATTACCTATTCCAACCAAATTAACCCATTTACCAAATTAACCCATTTAACATATATTCTAAAAATTTAATTTAAATAATTTCTATTCTCAGAATTACCTTAAAACCCTAAATTTGAATTAATACATTTTCATTGATTCCCACACATAAACATGTCAAACTCTCCCTTACACCTAATTCATAATTAAATTAATATATTTTCGGATTTAAAATAATTAAAAATTAAGAAAATACATTTTGTAAGAAAAAAACTTAATTTCTTCCCTTAAAAACCATCTTAGGACCCTTAGGAACAATATTTACAAAGATACTTCCAAAAATTCCATCTAAAGAGAAAAACCCTAAACTTTAAATCTCCAAAAATTCCTCAAAATTCTTCATTTTCATTGTTTAATCATTCCTCTAATCCTTCACTAAAGGTTTTGTAAAGAAATTACGAAAGAAAAACAAAATTTGGAAAAACCCTAGATTTTTCATCTTCAAAAATCTTGAGATTGAGAAGTGGAAATAAGTTTCTACGACATACCTTCTTCTTCCCTTAAACTCCTCTTCAATTTCCCTTAAATATTTCGTCGGAAAAACGCCTCCGGAGCCGACCGTCTCCCTTGCCCGTCACCTCTACCATCCGCCCTCTCCAAACGGCCAAACCGTGCGTGAAAATGAAAGGGAGGGCTCAGTTGGTTCATTTACGGAGAAAGGGAATTTCCAAAATACCAATTTTGCCCTCACTTAAGCTATCCACGCTTGCATAAATACTATGGGTATAATAGGTGTTATGAGGTTTCTTTAATTTTTATCTCCCAAATTAAACGAAAGTAGATATAGGTTTTATATCAATTTGCTCCAAATTTTGCGTAGAATTTTCTAAAATTATTTTCGTTGAAATCCGACAACTTTGAATTTTTACTTAAAACTCATCGCGGCGCTTTGAAATGCGTGCAAGGTCTAAAACGGCATTTTCGGGTTTTACAATACGAACCATTCATTATCAGATGCCACATCATCACACACCAAAGGGTCATCATCATCCTTCAACCCCTTGTTTCTCAACCTCCTTTCTCTCAACCTCTTGTTGTGCATAATATACACAAGAGAGTTCACTCTGAGTGTTGAAAGTCGATTTCTTCTATTTGTTTGCACTTGACTATATGTACTCCAGTTTCGCTCACACCCAGAAGAAAAACAAATGAGGCCCAAAACTCTAACAGCAAAACTCTATAACTCAGGGGTGGAATTACCAAATTGGATCCACCATTCAACTATTTTCAAGAAGAAAAAAGATAATCATATTATATTAAAGTGTTATGCATTTAAAAAAACAAGTATACCTGGTGACCGTTTGACAATAGTTGATTTTGCTGCTTGCAGACCAAAAAATCCCTCCTTATTTTGAAATAGAACAAGTTGTAAATCTGCAAACTCGCT